ATCACACCCAAGTCGCCCCTATGCTGTTAGACACAGTGCTGAGCCGCATTACGCAGGACGCTGTACCTCTCTGAGCGTGTAACCTGGAGCAACTCAGCACCGGGGAGGCCTCCCCAGGTTCCCAGGATGCACAGCCCGTGAGCCGTTCAGCAGACGGCTCCCCGAGCCACCAGTCGCTGCGCTCAGAAACAGCCCTGGGCTCCCCGGGCCGAGGCAGGGAGCCGGGTCCCCCAAGCCTGCTGTCACTGAGCAGCTCTTCCGGGCCTGGGGCTGGGGTGGCTGTTCCGGGGGCTTCGGGGACTCATTCCCCATCAGGGGCAGCGGGGGCTCTGGGACGCCGCTCAGTGGGGTGGGCAGGGAGGACACGGGCCTGCTCACCCACCCAGTCCCCACAGCCCTGCTGGGTCCCCAGGAGGGCTCTGCACGGGGGACAGCCGTGGGACCGTCACGCGGCCTGGGTCTGAAACCACCTGCACCAGGCACTGCCACGCTGTGCCACCCGGATCAGCCCCTTGGGCTCCCCATGTCCCCATTTCCTCATCTGAGAAGTGGGTTTGGTCCCCTCTCCTGCTAGGAGCCCCGTGGGATGGCAGGAGCCCACGTGACACCCGGGGCTGGGGCCGGGGTCGGGGAGCCAGGAAGACCTTGAGGCGTGTGCTGCGGGTGACAGTTGAGCGCAAAGGTTGGCAAGGGACAGAGCAAGAGGGCCACCTCAAGCCCAGTGTGACTTCTTCAGAAAAAAATCTTAAAAGGCCGGCCCCGGGCCCCGGAGTGGAAATAGAAGAAGAGGAAGCTGCCAGGCGCCCGTGGGATCAGTCATGGAAGGAGTTCGGACCTCATTCCTGTGAGCAGTAGGGAGCCACAGCAGGCTCATGAGCAGGGGCAGCGCACGGTGAATCTGTCCGAATTTATAAAAGCCTTGCCCAACCCCATTCACTCCGGCTGTGGCACAGGACACCCGAGCTAGGAACACACAGGGCCCCGGTTCTCCCTCTCTGCACAAGGAAGGCCAGGGCCCCTGCCACTACCCCCTCAAAGGCCCCGGAGAAAGCCCCGGTCTAACCAGGCCACCCAGTTCTGTTCCCACTCAGCTGGTGACCCCTACCAGGGACACCACCTCTGTCCCTCCATGTCCCCCCACACAGAGCGTGTGACCATGTGACCCATGCATCACATCAGCGAGTCCTCTCTGAGGGTACAGGGGGGTAGTCTGAGGCCCAAGGAGGGGTGCAGATGCGGCCCAGGTCACCCAACGGTGACAGACGGGTAGAGGGACAGCCACCTGATCTGTGCTTTAGTCTCCTCAGCTGTGAAATGAGATCACAGGCCCGCAGGGCAGGGCTGTGGCCCAAGTGACAGGAGACTATTAGCAATGACAGATAAGGATCACAGCCGACACCCAGCCCAGGTTGGGCTCTGTCCCACGCTAATCCCCACGGAGACTGGGAGGCAGACTCCTCTCAGCCCCGTTTCACAGATGAAAAACCTGTGAGGGTAGTAGACCCCAGCACACGGGCCGGGCCGGCCCACCGTCTGCCTCTGCAAATAAAGTTTTATTGGAACACAGCCAAGCATTTTCTTTGTGGCTCTTTCCACCCAGTTGAGGCAGAGACCGTAGGCACTGCTCAGGGTCTTTCGGAGAAATAATGGCTATGTGAATATCTGGGCACCCTGGGGCCCAATCAGGTTGACACAAAAAATTAACCATCACTTTGTGTAAATCTATCTGCTCCCAGGCCCTGGACGGAGGAGGCCGGCTGAGCCTGAGGGTGAGAAGTGGTCCTTGGCCCAAGTTCCCCTGAAGAGGAAGCAGTCCTGGGCACCCAGCAGGTGCTCAACACATGCTCCTGGTATGTGATGATTTGTGTCATGGCCCTAAGGGATCCAAAAGGTCCTACGGCTCACTCTGGCACGGGCCATCCTTCTTGGGCTGCCGTGGAAACCTTTCTGACCTCCTGCTTAACAATCCATAAAATATGAAATGTGGGTGGGGGAGGCCTCTAGAAATCTCTTAAATAATAATGATCCCGGCCGGCGCCATAGCACACGCCTGTCATCCCAGCAGTCGGGAGGCTGAGGAAGGAGGATTGAGAGTTCAAAGCCAGCCTCAGCAATGGTGAGGCCCTAAGCAGCTCAGTGAGACCCTGTCTCTAAATAAAATACAGAATAGGGCAGGGGATGGGGCTCAGTGGTCGAAGGACCCTGAGTTCAAGCCCCAGTACCAAAATAATAATAATAATAATACCACCACCACCAAGATGTGTCCACAAACACAGCACAAGAAGGGCGGGTCTCTGAGGCCGAGCAAGCCTACCATGCTGGGCCACAGGAGATAGGTAGGGGTCCTGAAGCCTCTCATGGCCTCAACTCCAGTAGACAGTGACAGGCTGGGCAAGCCTGGTAATCCCAGGGACAGCCTGTGATGCTCACAGTTGAGCTGACTCATCCCCTGAACAGCCTAGGAGGGCCAAGGTGTTGCAGCTGGGAAATGGCAGGGCTGGATTTGAATCTGGGTCCACATGAGTCCAGAGCCTGTCTGTATCTTTTTAACCAGGCCCTGGTTCTTCCTGGCCTGGAGAAGAGAGATGGGTGGAGCAGTTGCAGCTATTTTGGGCTTAGAAAGAGCTGGCTGGTTGCGTCCATCACAACAATGGGGAGGAAGCCCCAAGGCTGCCCATGTTGCCCCTCAGCCCCTCCCCAGCTTCTGGGGAAGGGGTATGCCTGCTACAAACGATCCCCACTTGATCAGACTGAGTTCTCCTCTCCAGCCCCAGAAAACCAGCATGAGGCCCTGCCTGAAGCTGTGTGACCTCAGGAGCATCACTTGCCCTCTCAGAGCTGCCATCCTCTTTATAAGTGGCAGGAGAGCTGACTGCCAGGATTGTGACCTGAAGAGTAGGTGTTCCCCACCCCAAGTTCTCCTGCGGACTGCTGGGAAAAGTGCACTCATCCCTGCCCTGGGGGTGGAGAGCGTTGGGAGGTGCTGATTGGCTTGGCTGAGTGTCAGCGAGTTCTGGCGTTGACCTGGAAAGGTGGGGCGTGGGCTCCGCCAGGGAGTGTGGGAAGAGGCGGGCGGGCGCAGGGGCAGGTGCTGACTGAGTCAACGGCCTCACCCCCAGGATCTTCCCAGGACACGGCACCTTTGGCAACGCCCACAGGCAGCTCTGGAGGGATTCGGCCGTGTCTCAGGAGGGTTAACACCAGAGACTCTGCTCCCAGGCAGAGGTCACAGTCCTTGTCCCTGAGACCAGGCTGGGGGCGCAGGCGCATCAGGGCAGAGACCTGTGCGGCCCGACGGCCCACGCCAGCGCTCCGTCCCCGCTTCACCAGAAGCAGCACACTGTCACCAAGGGGGTACACATCTCCTGCCAGCTGTCCCCTCTACCTGGGCCACCTGTGTCCCTCCTCCCTTCACCTGGCGGCCTCCTGCCTCGGGGCTCTCCCAGCCCCCCTACCGAACGCTCAGTCCGTCGAACTTGCAAATGTCCTGTGGCCTGCTGCAGCGCCCACTGTGGCCCTGGCAGCTGCCACAGGTGCCCGCTACCTCCACCCCCAGGGGAGGAACAAACCCCAGGGAATCTCTAAAATGGCCAAGACGCACAGCACAACCCCCAGGCCTCCAGACAGACAGACAGAAACTTCCAGGGAGACCGTGGCACGGGGCCTCCCTGGAGGTCCGCCGACCCTGTGTCCCCAGATTGACCAGGACCGAGAGGTCTGTCCACACCCCGTCCAGAACCCCGCGGGGCCAGCTGGAATCCTCCCAGTGCTTGGGGCCCTGTCGTGACCACGAAAGCAGACGGCGGCGTCCC